AATGAATCACAAAATACAGCGCAACCAAAGCTGTCTGACTGCAGTACAAATTTGTGCTGGTTCATTTAAATAAAAAATACAGTGCAGACAGTGTAGTCCGATTCTCAAAAGGATCACTCAGACCAATTTCTGAAATAATCAGACTCACTTAGTTTACTTAACCACAAGTTTAGTTTCGTCATTTCTGTCTTAAAATGAACCAATTGTTGATTTGTCATGTACGCCGAAAACTCTAGAGATGGTTTGTAATTATACTTGTTTGTTTGTTTGTTTTATCTGCTTTGCTGAAATCTGAATCTTATATCAACAAGCTGCCGAGGGTCTTTTTCAAATGTGTACTCCTCAAAAGTAGCTGGAATCGTTCAGAAGAATCGGAACCAGAATAGTTCAATACCTCGCGAGTCCTCGGGCTGTTTCTGACAGGCATGCGATGTGACGCGCATGAAATCCTGAAACCTGCCCACAGTTTGCGACCACACGGAGAGCGCGGAGACGGACAGTGAGCCCGCTCATGATGAGAACAGCCCGTCCAATTATCCGTGTGCCCCCTTTGGACACTCCCTTCTCACTTCAGTGCTTACTCATCCACGAAATCCAGCGCTGGATTCCAAGATCCTGCTCGCGTGGAGATTTAAAACTGGACAGAGGCATGATAGTCCAGAAGAGAAGACGGAGGGATGCGAGTGCGTTTGGTGCCATGATTAACATCCAGTTTTTACCTGTGTGCTCCTGAGAAGAACGGAAAGACAAGTCAAGTGGTCTAGCACTCAAGACAGCTGATGAGGAACAGCAGGAAGAAGAAATCTGACAAAGTAGTAAGTGCGCAGTGTGTGTTTGCATAATTGAATTGTTTATCATATGTTGCATAGTAGCCTAAATTTGGCATGATGCTTAACCCATTCAGGCCTGAATTATGTTTGTGGGACTTCAAAATATGGTCATGCTTTAATTCTTTTCTAAATGTAACCATAATTGGTAATGGTAACCGATCAAAATATATATATATATATATATATATTCTTTTTTGAAAGTTCTTTCTTCATAACGATAGGCATATATTCTAAACGGTAGTCAATCTGGATAATTATAGATATTTGTGCAAGAGAACGTTAATGCAATATGATTGTAGAATTGGTTGTAAAATCACGGTGTTTTTCCTAAAAATAAATAATAAAATTATAAATATTAATAAAGTAGCTGGAATTCAGTATCATTGAAAGCAGATAAAGGTGAAATATAACTGTAAATACGTAAAACAGTGTGAGATCATTGCAATACACTTGCTGCAATGGTGATGGCTATTGGATTGCATTCTGCAGGGTCTGAACCTGTAACCTTTCAGTGACCCGCTCAGATTATGTATCACAGCGCCACACCACCCACACAACTTTGACATGTTTCCAGATTTGTAGGAGGAATATTACTGCAATCAGTTTTGCAGTACAGCACTGCCTATCATAAAATAATAAATTCTTTAATGTGATACAATGACTTGTCTTACTAATATCACCTTTTAGGTTCAATGTAAAACAGTCCAAATATTATTTATGTTGTTTTAAGTTTGGAAATGGGAACAAAAACATTTTCAAAACACAAAAGATAATTGATTTAAATGGATCTGCATGTGTTAAAAAGAATGAATGGAACAGAATGAAAAAGTGGACATGCGTTGCTGGAGCCCTCGGGGGCTTCATAACTAACAGATCCTTAATAAGCGTTGAGGTCTGAATTATGCACAGAGGGAAAATCTGCAGCTCTAAATTAGTGCTATAACTTGTGTTGCCTTGCGTAACATACTTCCACGCACTGCATACTGGATACTAGCGATGAGAACATTACGTTCACTATCACTGGTTTGCTAGAGAGGCTTTTCACACTTGGCTGGAACACTGCAGAAGTCAGGGGAGAAAGAAACAAATGAAATTCCTCACGGATGAAGGGCCAGTTTCACTTCTTCTATGATGTTCTTGTGTAAATGCTTGCAATTAGAAATAATCAGTCAAATGTTTGAACATATATCATGAACACAATGTTCCCAGTGTACAAACTCAAAATACTCAATGATTTTGATTCAGAATAATAACAAGCTATAAATGTACGTCCATAATCTAAATCGTATTCATCACAGTTTTTAAACCCTGCAGCTGTCTGTGCTTTTTATAGCTGCTATTATTTATTAACGGCTCCATGTAAAAAACATGAATGTGTTTTCATTCATGTACAAAGACACATAGAAAAATAATATTAGAAATATCTGTAAACATAGCAGAACTCTTTAAATTGAAATACTGATAGTTAGAGAATTACTAAAGCTTCATCAGCAGTCATTTCTTTAAAATTACAGCTGTCTTTTATAACCCATCTCTTTCTCTCTCTCTCTCTCTCTCTCTCTCTCTCTCTCTCTCTCTCTCTTCTCGCTCTGCCTTGCCCTCTCTCTCTCTTTGTTCGCCCCAGTGGCTGCACCTGATCTTTTAGATCCTAAATCAGCCACACACAACACCAAACCACGGCTGTCGTTCTCCTCCAAGCCCATTGTATATAACTCGGGGGATGATTGTGATACCATAACCACCGTAATGAAGTGGAAAACAGTAGTGGCAATCTTCCTGCTGGTTGTTCTGTATCTGATAATCGGAGCCAAATGTAACCATAATTGGTAATAGTAACCGATCAATATATATATATATATATATATATATATTCTTTTTTGAAAGTTCTTTCTTCATAACGATAGGCATATATTCTAAACGGTAGTCAATCTGGATAATTATAGATATTTGTGCAAGAGAACGTTAATGCAATATGATTGTAGAATTGGTTGTAAAATCACGGTGTTTTTCCTAAAAATAAATAATAAAATTATAAATATTAATAAAGTAGCTGGAATTCAGTATCATTGAAAGCAGATAAAGGTGAAATATAACTGTAAATACGTAAAACAGTGTGAGATCATTGCAATACACTTGCTGCAATGGTGATGGCTATTGGATTGCATTCTGCAGGGTCTGAACCTGTAACCTTTCAGTGACCCGCTCAGATTATGTATCACAGCGCCACACCACCCACACAACTTTGACATGTTTCCAGATTTGTAGGAGGAATATTACTGCAATCAGTTTTGCAGTACAGCACTGCCTATCATAAAATAATACATTCTTTAATGTGATACAATGACTTGTCTTACTAATATCACCTTTTAGGTTCAATGTAAAACAGTCCAAATATTATTTATGTTGTTTTAAGTTTGGAAATGGGAACAAAAACATTTTCAAAACACAAAAGATAATTGATTTAAATGGATCTGCATGTGTTAAAAAGAATGAATGGAACAGAATGAAAAAGTGGACATGCGTTGCTGGAGCCCTCGGGGGCTTCATAACTAACAGATCCTTAATAAGCGTTGAGGTCTGAATTATGCACAGAGGGAAAATCTGCAGCTCTAAATTAGTGCTATAACTTGTGTTGCCTTGCGTAACATACTTCCACGCACTGCATACTGGATACTAGCGATGAGAACATTACGTTCACTATCACTGGTTTGCTAGAGAGGCTTTTCACACTTGGCTGGAACACTGCAGAAGTCAGGGGAGAAAGAAACAAATGAAATTCCTCACGGATGAAGGGCCAGTTTCACTTCTTCTATGATGTTCTTGTGTAAATGCTTGCAATTAGAAATAATCAGTCAAATGTTTGAACATATATCATGAACACAATGTTCCCAGTGTACAAACTCAAAATACTCAATGATTTTGATTCAGAATAATAACAAGCTATAAATGTACGTCCATAATCTAAATCGTATTCATCACAGTTTTTAAACCCTGCAGCTGTCTGTGCTTTTTATAGCTGCTATTATTTATTAACGGCTCCATGTAAAAAACATGAATGTGTTTTCATTCATGTACAAAGACACATAGAAAAATAATATTAGAAATATCTGTAAACATAGCAGAACTCTTTAAATTGAAATACTGATAGTTAGAGAATTACTAAAGCTTCATCAGCAGTCATTTCTTTAAAATTACAGCTGTCTTTTATAACTGTATTTTTCAGTTTTGTTATCCAATTTACCATTATTTGAAAATTTATTTTATTATAATTGCAACTATTTTATTTTATTTTTTATACAACATGCATCTTGTAATTGCAACTTTTTTCAATTTTGCAGTATGATGTTCTGTTATTTGGACATTATATCACGCAATTGTGACGAGATGACCATAATACATTCTTGCATCATGTACATGTACTGTAGAACCCCAAATCATGTGTAATAGAGGGAGAGAAATAGTGAGTCATCTACGAGTTAAGGACCATGGACAGCTCCACTTTTTGTCCTTCACTTAGTTTGGTTTCTAAAATATGCATACATATGAAATGAGAACAAAACAACTCCAGCAAAGCTTTAACCTTCCACTTCCACTTACTCTTTGAGTAATTTGAGTTTTTAAAGTTTTAACTTACCCAGTGGTAAAACATTTTTTTTTTTAACTCTTTAATGAGCCATACATTCCCTAGGTTTGGAATCAAGTCACTTTAGGTCTTCAGGGAACACAGTGATCAGAGAAGGAGGAATATCGATCTCAATTACGCCAAGATCCTTTCTTTAGAAAAATAGGCACAATCTGAAACACAAGAAATACAAGAAGTGTAATATTATCCCTGCTGCACAAACACAGGCACACACATTTGATAAGGCAGCCATTTACTATAACGGATTTGACAGTGAATGAAATTACAGATCAAATTCTGTCTTAACTCCCAGCTGACTCGGTAATGTGTGACGTAAAATCCAGAGATGCTGTGGAAGACTGATAAAGAACAGATCCGTGTCTTTGTTTGAGGCTTTGAATGTAGGCAGTTGGAGCCAGTCATCCTGTTCATTCAGAGACATGCAGTCTGCTTTAGATTTAAACATGTTACACACAATCGCAGCTGGGCTTGTACTGGAATTAGCATTGTTGAATATGATTCATATAGCTGTCAGTATAGCTGTCAGTTTCTAAATAAACATGTCCTGTATATTTATGTAATATTTTTACCTGCTGAGCGTTTGTCATCATTTGATCACCTTCATGTCATTCTGACCCTGTAATATTTTTCTTTCTTTTGTGAAACATGATGGGAGGTACTAGGCAGAATGTCTCCTTTTGTGTTTCACAAAGAAAGAAAATATGGAGTCAGTATGACATGGTAAGGGAGTAAATGATAACTTTTTATATTTCTGGTTTCTATTCCTAAAAGTTCTTTTCTAGAAGTGTTATTTTCCCGCATTTTTAGTTTAAGATTGTAGTGGTTTGTATAATTTTTGGAGATGATTCCTGACCTGTTTTCTCATCCACAGCAAGTGGTGTTTGCTATCCGGGCCGGGGTCAATCCCTCAGGTCACCCCTCCAATGAGAGCAGCATGTGGGACCTCAGCAGCTCCTTCTTCTTTGCAGGGACTGTCATCACCACTATAGGTGAGTAACAGCTGGACTCATTATGAATTCTCTAATTGATTCTTTAATTGATTAGTGACATTTTGAACTTCATTATCACTTCATTAAGGTGACAAAAGCAACTTGGTGAAACAATTTTAACTTAGGGGGCCTGGAAAGTAAAATGAATAGACCAGAAGAAGGGCTGCATAATTAAAAATATTTTCGATTATAGTTGCTGGAATTAATAAATCTTGAAATGTGTAAATTACAGCATTAATTTAGGTGTGCTCCTGTAAGTCAGTCAGCTTGTTTTTAGTGTATAGGATCCTAATGTTTTAGAAAATACAATAAAACAGTAATGTTGTGAAATATTCTTAAAATTTAAATTAACTTTTTTTTTTCTATTTTAATATATTTTAAGATGTAATTTATTCCTTTGATGGCAAAGCTGTATTTTCATCAATCATTACTCCAGTCTTCAGTGTCACATGATCCTTCAGATCCTGATTTGGTGCTCAAAAACATTTCTGATAATTATCAATGTTTTTTTATTAATAAAATTCTATTTTGAAATATAAATATTTTGTAACATTCTAAATGCCTTTACTGTCATTTTTATCAATTTAATGCATTGTGGCTGAATAAAATCATTAATTTCTTTCTTTCAAAAGCTTACTGACCCCAACCTTTTGAACGGTAGTGTGCATAAAGAATGGCATGCAGTTGCCCTACATAAAATAAGTATCTTTAAGGGATAGTTCATCCAAAAATGAAAATTATCTCATCATTTATTCACCCTTATGGCTTTCAAAACACATATGACTTTATTTCTTCAGCAGAACATGAAGAAATAATAATAATTATGGGTGAACTGCTTTAACAACTAAAATTAGTTGTTTACCTTTTAATGTAAATTCTATCAATTGTAAAAATTGCAGTTCAAATATCAAGGGTAATAATCAACAGGGAAATAATGTAGTAAAAGTGTAGCCCTGACTTATTTATGGTCATATAGGGTTATTTAACATACATGTAGGGTTATTTAGGGTCTCACACACTCAACATATTATGAATACATTTCTCAGTAGATAATCAGCAGCAGCATTTTTCATTTTGACTTCATCACTGAGGTTGTGTAGGAAATTGCATTAACGTTATGTAATAAGCTTGATTAATGAACCTTAACAAATCCTTTGGACAGCTTTGACGGTTTTTGAATACATGTGTACAACACCTTTGAAACCTGCTGGAACTGAGCCAAGAAGTGGATTGAAGAGCAAGCCCCCCTTCATCAATCCCCCCAGTGTCCCTCTTAGGCTGTGAAGAACGAAAATCTGTCAACTCCCCCTGTCCACCCCCATCAGCAAAGACGCACACTCACACAAGCACACAAGCACACACATACTTTGGAGTGTCCTTATGCGGTCATCTGTTGGTGAGGGCATCGCATTCACTAATACACATGAGTGCTGAGCATGTGCCAATGCTGAAGCTCTCACAAGACACACTTGTGTGTTCATTAAGCTCATTCAGACACTGCTGTTACATCAGGTTTGCGTCAGTCATCCTGTAGTGCTGCTTCACTAATGAGGGTGGCATGACATTTTTTGCTACTTGTGTCAAACGGACTTGTTTTGTGCTCTAAGTCAGCACATGATGTTCATTTCTCACCAAATTGGACTGATATATCTGGCAGTTTATTGCTAAGAACATATTATCCAGCTTTTTAACACGTAATTTCAGTCCTTTATGAGTCGTGAATTGTGTTGTTTTTTACTTTTGAGTTGCTGATTGGTTTAGGTCAGGGCTTCTTCTGAAATGATTAAAATAGTCAGAGACATTCAAGTAAAAAAATATGGTCCATAAATTCTTTCAAGAGGACTGGCTGGAGAAGAAAAATGACTTCACACCCTCAATTAACATATATTTTTGATAAACGTTATCATTATTATATTTAATTATTATATTTTTTAAGGCAATTGTTTACAAAATTTGGTAACTGAAGAAGAACTGGAGGATCTGCTAAAGACTGCACCTTTGACAATATAAACTGACATAGTAAAAAAAACTCTATATCCGTCCTTTTACATAAGAAATACATTTATTAAAAAAGAGAAAATATTTTTCTCTGTAGTCCTGCCATTCCTTTTAGGGCTTAACAAAGTTTTTTCTTCTTCTGGGTTATTCAAACCAGTGGTTCAGATTTGTACTTGATTTTCCAATATTTTCGCTGTCCCCACAAATACATGATAATTCGTGTTTTAGTTTGTTTGTTTTTTGGTTAGCAACAAGTTTTTTAGATTTAAAAAAAAATAATAAATAGTAATAATATTTTTCATGTTAGGTTCAATGAATTATAAGTATATTTGTATAGTATATAGTGTGGGTCTTGTAAGATGTTTTTTAAAAATAGGATTTTTAAATACTTTTTTTCAGCAAAGATGCATTAAATGCAATACAAATCACATTATAATGTTACAGAAGAGTTCTATTTTAAATACACTGTTATTCTGAACTTTGTATTTATCAAAGAATCTTAAAAAAAGAAATTCACTTCCACTTTTTCAAACACTTAAATATGCAGCATATTTTCAATTAATATGAAGACATGTAGAAATGTTTCTTGACCAATAAATCAACATATTAGAATGATTCTGTAGTATCATGTGATACTGAAGATGAAAAAAAATCAGCTTTGCCATCAAAAAAGTGAAATATGTTAAGTTAGAAAATAGTTATTTTAAATTGCAATATTTCACAATTAAAATTCTGTCCAAATCATAAAAAATATTTATGACCCCACAGTAGTGTATGTGATCAACAAATGTAAGACTTAGTGACAATGGGGCGATCCACAAGGGGGCACGAGGTGGCAATTGCCAACCTAAAAATGAGCTTTGCCACCCTGAAGCAGAGTAAAGGGATCGGAGTGCAATGAGAGCAGAGTGAGGAGAGGAGCAGCGTGATTTTGACTGAAGTCGGAGAACATACAGATCACACACACACAAACAAAAACTTTTTGTCAACGCTGTCCTGTGATTTATCAGTAAAGTTGCTTAGAAACAGAAAAGTTATAGCGAAAATGTATTTGTGTTTTAAGTGATTAAAACCCACAGCTTCACCATTAGTAGATAGACGTTGCACAGACGGTCAGGACATTCACACACAGTCGCGCTCTCACAAATGCATTCATGTTACAGCACCAAACCCATCTTGCAAGCCTGTGACTACTTGTAGTGGTAGAGTGGTTAAGAAACCTGCTTGTTTCAAGCAAATGATTATGTAGATATTTTAAATATGTTTGCAAGTTGTTGAACGAGAATGAGATCGACAGAGACGTGAGTGAGCATGTAGTTGAGAGTTGTTGATTAAAAGTTGATAAAGCATCAACAAAGTCCGATTATTGAGTCGGACAACACAACAGTGGTAATATCATGTCTTTTTCATTTTATAAGTGTTTGTATTTTTGTGTTTGTAAATCCCTCCAAAACTCAAATGTGAGCAATATATGGCCATCAGAAGTTAAAGGGGGTGTCGCATCTTTGTCACTTTTATCCCCCCTGATTGACTTGGAGAAAATTTTCTGTGATGGTGTTAGGGAATAGAGTACACAAAGGTGACACCACTGATCTTGCATACCCCTCAACAAATGTACAATTGTGTACCTGGTGGCAAGCCTAGTGCCACCCCTCTTTCTGCTCTTGCCCCCCACCCCCCTTTGCCACCCCAAATATAAAATCCTGGACACGCCCCTGAGTGACAACAGAGCAACTGGTGTGAATTCAGAATGAACTTGAGTCGATGATGTTCAGGATTGAGGATGCTGACTCACGGTCTGTTGAACCACACATAGTCACACTGTTTGCATGTATGCAGCTTCAGTGGTTACCAGCACAATAGACAATAAATGAGACACATCGGTTAAGCAGGGAGATTAAGAGCATAGTCCATTTTTCTATGAAGGTTATGTTTTCATAATCAATTTCTCTTTTACTGTGCAAGACACAAGGGCATAAAAATATTAGATATGACACGATCAGTGCTGGTTTATTTTTGGGAATCTTTTATCAGGCAGAGCAGCTATTTCATTCAAATCAATTGAGAGCTGGAAAAAATTCAGATTTGGCCCACCGGCCACCACTTTGGGTTCTTATCTATGGTCTCTGACTTATTATCAATTATTACATGTTGTTTGTTTCTAGTTAAGGTCAGGAAATTTGGTTTTATCTGAACAATGATGAGTTTGCCCACAGTATTGTTTGTATCAGGAGAAAACAGAAATACTGAAGCCATTAACACACGTTATAAATTTATACTGCTGAGAAGCTTAGGTCCTTATAGTTAATAAGCTGGAACAAGTATATTTTTATCCAGCCATGAAGATATGTGGATAAGTTTTACAAGAGAGACTGTGTAAAGAAGACTTACAGTTATTCATCTCCATTGTGCCATGTGTAATTAAGGTTGTCTTACAGAGAACCGATTTTTATGGGTCTTTCAAGGTTTTTTTATTTAATTAGATTTCAAAGAGGACAGATTGCATGAGGAGAGATTGAGCACAGTTAATGAGCTTCAAGGAAAATAGAGACGTAATGGGATGGAGGCTCTTGCGGAAGTGCCCCCCACTGCTCTGCTTCTCTCAGGGTGGTTTTGTCCAGTGGCTTAGCTTTTTGCTCTTGTAATTGCTTAAATTCCTGCTGTGGTACAACCACAACTACTGGTATTCTCGCTGTCTCTAACTCTCCCATTTTAATATACTGAGTAAACCTTTCTTGCAAAACAATGAATAGTCAAGTCAACTTTATTTCTATACTATGGAGACAGACCAGGTTCTGCTATAAAACAGCTCTGAAAGACAATAGGGTCATTATTTAGCACAAGCCAGTTCCGTGTTTGTTCAGTTCAACTTAATAATAGTGTGAAGTTCAACAATTTGAAATAAGTTAAATTCAGCTATAAGCATTTCTAAAGAGTCCCAATCATTGTTTTCTAAAAACGTTTTTCAACCAGCACCAGCAGCTTGCAGTCTCACAGTTTTTAAGGAATATTTTAGTACAAATTAATCTGAATCTACAGAAGCTGTGGCATATTGTTGATTAACACAAAAAATTATTTTGACTCTCTCGTTTTCTTTAAATGGGTCATATGATGCTGCTAAAAAGAACATTATTTTATGTATTTGGTGTAATGAAATGTGTTTATGTGGTTTAAGGTTCAAAAACACATTATTTTACACATACTGTACATTATTTTTTCTCCTCTATGCCCCGCCTTTCTGAAACGCGACGATTTTTACAAAGCTCATCGGTCTGAAAAAGCGAGGTGTGCTCCGATTGGCCAGCTATCCAGTGTGTTGTGATTGGCCAAATACCTCAAGCGTGTGACGGAAATGTTACGCCCCTTACCATATTGTGATGCCCTATCTGGCTGGAGCGACGAGACAAAAACATTCAAACCCATTATAAACAAGGCATTTGTTGCATCCAGTGGGGACATAATTACAGATTATAATGACTTATACTGTCTTTTTACGCGTTGCGTTGCATCGCGCCCATGTCTGCATTTGTGATCGGAGAAATGACAGACAACAAGCCCTACTCTACACTGCCCAAAACTCGTGTTTGAATCGTCAGTGGCAAATTCTTTAAATATAAAAAAACGCACTTGCAGTCTGTGAGTCAGAACAGCCGGCATTGTAGTCTACTCTCCCAGGATCAGGAAACAGTCCTCCATAAAATGTTGTTCTGGAACAGTGTTGTAAATACAACTTAACCACTGATATCTAGTCGTGTCCTCTTTTGGAACACAACGAAACACATGGCGGGCTTGAGTGAGTGGAGGCAGGCAGGCTTGAGAACGGCGCGGCCGGCGGATTCGACGAAGGAGCGTCCAGTGGGCTTGCGGCAACCACATGTGACGACCCCGGGCTGGACTCTGCTTCGTCCACGGTGAAAGCCGATCTGGCGATCCACAGCGCGAAGTTGATGCATTTCCTCAGCGACCAGCACGGATCAGCTCTTAGCATGACGAAGTGGATATCGTCCTCTTTTGGAAGGCCAAACAACGTAGTTTTGCTTTCACAACGAAACACACAGCGCCTTCACGACATGGCGGCGGCAGCAACAATACTACAGCGAGAATAAAAGTTACGCCTTCTTTCTTTGCGTGAACATTTGGGCGGCATTATGCAAATCTTCCCACATCGTGACGTAGACATGTGGGGGCATGTTAGAACGAGCCGTTTTAGGTAGGCGTGGTTGACTCTTAACTTTTATAAAGAATATCTCTTTGGATTTGAGACTTTAGTCTTTGCAACTTTACAGATCTTATTTATGCACCAAGAGCTTGTAACACTCCAAAGAGAAAGGACAATTTTAAATCGCATCATATGACCCCTTTAAAAGATGCCAAAATCAAGGTTATAGTGAGGCATACAAAGGAAATAAATGGAGGCAATTTTTGAAGTATTTAGAAGCATAAATGTGAAGTTTATAATTGTATAAAAAAAACACTTGCATTAAATCTTCTGTTAAAACTTGTGTATTTTTAGAGTTGCAGCATTATGTTGTCATGGCAACAAAGTTGTAAAATTGCCACAAGTGCTGTTGTTTGAGCTTAACTTGTACTGAACCCAGAAAATCCCTTGAAGTGAACCCAAAGATTGAAGTTTTTTTTTTATTGAGTTTAAATCAAGACAAAAGCCAATTTCATGGGGGAATCTGATAGCAAGTATAATTTACCGAACCTCACTGTTACCTAATCTGCATAATGCACTCGTTCCTCCTGTTTTCATGAGGCATTTCTGTAATGATTTTACCTGCTTTGCTCTTGTGCTATAGCTAAATGTAGGCGTTGAATAGTCTTCACTAGGAGACTCTCCATGTAGGCAGGATAATACAGCCCTAATATTTCCTGACAGATAAATAAGGCGTCCCAACATAAATTCCCATAGAGCTGTCTGCACGCTAAATTGAATAAAGATCTTTTGAATGCACTAGGGGAGTATGATTCAAACATTTATTATCTGTTTGACTCAACAAAATATCTTTCAAGCTTTTGAAGCATTGAAATAATATTTCAGAAATCAAAGTATTACCTATTTATTTTGGCAGATTATACCCACACATTTTGCCTGGGATCATCAGTCTTGCTGACAGAATGACTTCTGTTTCTGCAGGCTTTGGCAACGTCTCTCCACACACAGAAGGAGGCAGGATCGTTTGCATTATCTATGCGCTGCTGGGGATCCCACTCTTTGGGTTCCTATTGGCTGGAGTGGGCGATCAGCTGGGAACCATATTTGGCAAAGGAATCGCCAAAGTGGAAAAGATGTTTGTGGTGAGTGTTTCATTAAATTTAGCTTAAATCATTTAGCGAAATTAGGATATTCATCATTAATGTGTTTTATAATCTACAATTTTAATCCATGTACAATATTTTACATATAAAATATCAGAAATTTTGGAATAAATGAAAAACATTTTCAGTTATGTTTAACATGTTAATCTGAATAGTATAAATAGCTATTCAAGTTAAAACAATAGATTAGATCAGTTCTGTGAAATGTTTATAAAAATGTTATGTGAATTTACCATGGCAAGTCAAAAGATTAAATCTAAAACAATATTAATATATCATTCATTTAGAAAAACAGTCTGTGCTCCTCAAATCCCTTTAATCAGAAATGTACTATATTGTCTACACTCAATAAATCTCCTGCGGCTCTAAAATAATGATTGTTTTGCTGAAAGGCTTGGTTCTGTGGTGCCGTCACATTTGATGATTCAATGTAATTACTTAAGTGCCTCTGGCGGCCATCTTGTTTACACTTGATGCACATACACACTTTTATTCTCTGCTGAGCTTTTGTGTTTTTGCGCCGGAACAATTCTGAACGTTGACGTGTGCGATGAAGAACACATTACAGTGTTTTTCAATGCAGTCAATGCAGCATAGTGAATTATTTATTGCTGGTGCACTCGTTCTTTTGTATAACACATAGTAAACAATTCTGAAGGCTAAAAGGAAAAATACATAATTTTCAGGGCAAGTGTTTATTTCTCAAACTCTACTAAACTGAGTGCAGCTTTCTGTCCTGTGTTGACACATTTCTACATTTTATGGCCTTTAGTTACATAATGAATGATCATTTATGCTAATGGTTGGTTGCAGCATTTGATTGGACAAAACTCTGTGTAGTGCAGCATGAGTCATCAGTTTTCTTTGTCCATTTTGTATGATCTATATTTCCTGTTCCTATTTTTTTAAATGTTTATGTCTGCTAAAAATGTTTTGTTTTTTTTAGCATTTTGGAGTACACTACCATATAGGGTTTCTCAAAGCTAAAACACAATGATTAAAGCCCATAAAACGCCCACTTTGATTTCATAGGGTATTTAAACTAGTTATAGGCTAATACTTAAACCAGGCGGATTATTCATCCTACAGTGTATTTGGGTATTTTCAGGCAATTGGGCAATAACTTAATAATAATAATACTTTTAATACTTTTATTAAGCATAGACACATTCAGTTGATCATTGTGAAAGTAAACACATTTCTAATGATACAAAAGGTTTCTGTTTCAAATAAATACTGTTCTTTGAACTTTCTTTTCATCAAATTATCCTGAAAAAAAGTACTCTGACACTGAAAATAAGCACCAAATCAGAGTATTAGAATTGTTTGTGATTATTTGATACAGTCATCTTTGCCATCACAGGAATAAATTACATTTTAAAATGTGTCAAAAAAAACAAACATTCTCATCACATCATTCTCCACAATATTGCTGTATTTTTTTAAATAAATTCTGTTTTCTGTATTTCTCATGTGTGACAGTGTATCCTCCTGAGACCCTGTGACCTCAGGACATTATATTTTGGTGTATTTCTCTGAGACTATACATGCCACAGTCTGGATGTCCTGTATAGAGCACATTCAGGGCTTTTCAGAAATGGGGTTTCAAATCAAAATATGACTTTCTGTTATGAAACAGGATGTTGATTTCATACATGTCCTCATATGAGGACACCGGGACTAAAAGCATGTTTATTACGCATTTTGGGAGACATAACAAATGAATAGGGAAAGAAATTATGTTTCAATATTCTATGAAATATTATATATTATTATGAAAATCTTGTCAAATATTACTCCCATTATTACACTTCTTTTTTCATTACATGTTGCCCCAAAAACACATTAATATGCAAATTAGATTTAGTTTATAGATACATTGTATATAATGAGAAAACCCATTTATGGCCATTTTACACACATTTTCTAGAAAGGAAAATGGTATATCAAATCATTCTGTTATAACATAGTTGAGAATCATCTTTGTACAAAGTTTGGTAAAAAAAAAAAAATCCTGGAAACTAAAAATGTACCGAGGACATAGCATAACTTATGAACGAAATATAATTTTGTACATTTTTTTTGGTAATTTTTTTTATGCTCTAAACAATGTAAAGACATGAAAAAAAATATTTTTTTCCTAAAAAATCTTTTCTCGGGTCTTAAGAGGGTATAATAGGTGTCAGACATATATTATTATGAAAATCTTGTCAAATATTACTCCCATTATTACACTTCTTTTTTCATTACATGTTGCCCCAAAAACACATTAATATGCAAATTAGATTTAGTTTATAGATACATTGTATATAATGAGAAAACCCATTTATGGCCATTTTACACACATTTTCTAGAAAGGAAAATGGTATATCAAATCATTCTGTTATAACATAGTTGAGAATCATCTTTGTACAAAGTTTGGTAAAAAAAAAAAATCCTGGAAACTAAAAATGTACCGAGGACATAGCATAACTTATGAACGAAATATAATTTTGTACATTTTTTTTGGTAATTTTTTTTATGCTCTAAACAATGTAAAGACATGAAAAAAAAATATTTTTTTCCTAAAAAATCTTTTCTCGGGTCTTAAGAGGGTATAATAGGTGTCAGACGTTGTATAAGAGTGAATGTTTTCAGACAGTGTCTGGTCGAGTATTGTGGATGTCTGTCAACAGTGATTATAATGAGCTTTAGCCAGCATTTTTACCTCCCTTCTCCTCTGTTTTTCCTCTCAGAAATGGAACGTGAGCCAAACTAAAATCCGTGTGACATCCACGGTCCTGTTCATCCTGTTTGGGTGCCTGCTGTTTGTGGCCCTTCCCGCCCTCATCTTCCAGCACATTGAAGGCTGGAGCACTCTGGAGTCCATCTACTTTGTTGTCATCACTTTAACCACTATTGGATTTGGAGACTTTGTGGCAGGTGAATGAAGTCACTACTTTGTTCCTTCAGTTTCAATTTCGGTTTTGTGTTCATTTTTGAAAGTGAATAAATGCCCAGAAAAACAACACGAACATGAAGTAGTCAAGTTTAGTCATGAGTTCAGTGGGTTGATATGGGTTCATTTATCTCATTCAGGAGGCTCTGAGATTGAGTATTTGGACTATTATAAGCCCATTGTGTGGTTCTGGATCCTGGTGGGTCTTGCCTACTTCGCTGCAGTTCTCAGTATGATTGGAGACTGGCTTCGAGTCATCTCCAAGAAGACCAAAGAGGAGGTATGTGCTTGCTGATATGCTTTAAGGCAATACTGGGGCAAGAACTGCACTTCTTTTCCAACAAAAATCAAACCTTCTGAAATGGTTCCCTCTCAATACATGATTGAGAGTGTGAATGTGAATTGAATTGGTGAACCACAGGATGTTGAACTAGAAAATAAATTGGAAAAGGAATGTACTGGATTGCACTTCAACGACATTCAACACAATCACACGACAAAGGAGTTTTATTTGTCCAGCATAACAAAATGGTTGTGTTTAGAACTAACACGTGAAAAAAAAAAACAGAAATCTGATCATTTGAAGTTTAGGCCTATTAAATGTTAAAGAAATGAAGTTGTATCTTACATCCCTAAAGCTGACATCATGCCATTTGCCTCCATTTGGAAAAGTTTGGAGTGAATTTAATATGTAGGCCTCAGTATGAAGCAGCAGAATACTGTAAATCTGAACCTGAAAATCTCTTACACTGAAGTCCATTATCACATCTCACCAGAAATAGAGGAGAAGGAAGTGCAGTGCAGGATTAATGTTAATGAAAGGTCTGAATGACCCAGTTCTGCTACCTGATTCTCATCCATAATACATCACCTTTCAGGGTCTCTTAAATGCTGTAAAGGTGCTGTGTAGTACACGCTCATATTTTCTTCTACATCAGGAATAAACTTCTCAAATTAGAACTTTTCAAGAGTCCTGTAGGGAGCCAACTAACCATCTAATGACCTCATTAGAGAGGAAAGCAGAGGTTCCTTGTTTACATTTATCTGATATTCTTATTAGTTTTACTCATTTATTAGTTGTTTTTTCCTATTGCTACTACTGTTTTGAGAGGCATTGTTTCATAGTCCACCCATGCAAGTCGTCTTGATATTGTCAAGGCTCATATAGTGAACTATTTCTTCCTGAATAAATTACAGTGCTAGTTGGTAGTAGTGCATCAGGAAAATTTCAAGCACACAGCTGAGAACATTAAAGAGTTTTACAATGTATAATTTCTGTACGTTTTAGAGGTTTGGTAGGAAGGTATGAACACTACTGATTCTAAAATTGGAGTGCATTAGCAGATAGATGATTACAATGTACTGTACAAAGAGTGCATTATTCATCTAGGATGCTTTAAATTGATCTAAAATACTGTAAATTACATATATAATGTTACAAACGGCCTTTTCTATTTTTAGGGGCAGGTTAGGGTTAGGATTAAAAATGCTGTATTTATTCAAACTCTCATTTCAGCAAAAAAAATTTAAAAAAATTAAAATAACAATAATAATAAAATACAGCTTGGCAGCTTATGCATTCAAACCGTTTATAAACATATTCAGCTGGTTTCATCTCAGCGATTCCCTTAGTTCAGCGCTTCCAAAACATGTTTGTGTTATGTGGCCATTTCTAAAACAAACATTTGACTTGAAAGTGTACAGCGACCTGCTAACACAAATGTACTAAATACTTCAGTTACTGAAAAAGACACAGTACTGCTGTTTCCACCCTTTGTTAGGCAGAACAATAATTTTCAAGTATGATAATGATAATAATAAAGGGGTCTTGAGTACTAAATGAGCATATTAGAATGATTTCTTAGGGATTATATAACAGCTTTCCTTGCAGATTCTCTTGACTGGACTAATGGCTGGAACCATCACAGCTATATAATTTAGTTTAAAATATCATGAAATTAGTAAACAGTTGTTTTAAACAATAATAATACTTTGTAAAATCACATTTTTGTTTTATTTAGATTTATTGAACATCTGTCTGTCTACTCTAAACAACAATATAAACAGTACACTATATATTACAATAAATGCACAAAAATTGGAAAGAATAAACACAAACACTATGACAGTTTACACAATATGCCAAACTATTGTACATGCATTTTGTGAACACCAGTAAAAGCCAGAGACAGTTAAAAAAGGAATTAGACACACTTAAAGGCACAATATGTAATTTTCGCCACTAGAGGGCGCATATACAAAATAAACAAATAGACAAAGGCGTAGTTTGTGTATTAGTGTGGAATCATGGGAGTTGTCGTCTTCATCCCCACAGCCGATGCAATCCGATGGAACTCGGGCAGAAATCATGTTCATGGATGAGCTAATGATTTATTAACGTAGTAGAAGGAAGCAGGGTGAGGCTGAAAGCCGTCGAAGCGAAACGAGGCCGCTGAATGAGCGTGACACACGCCTCGAAAGCAGCGGAACTTTTATTATGCCACAGTCGACCGCTTCCGCTCCTTCCGGTCGTGCGTATGTGGGGGGAAAAAAGCTGTTTTATCATACTAGATACATTTGAAAGTTCTGTTATAATGCTACTCTGTGCGGTCGTCACCGGTCTATTAAAACGCACAACATATTAAAGCGTCTTTGGTGTTTCCATATTTTCTACAAAACAAAAACAGAAATCGAGGGGTTATGACTTCATTAGCAGGCGACACAATGACACTATGGACACGCTCCGTGACACTAGTTAAAATTGCTTATTTCTCTGGATTTAAACATTCGGGATAATGTAAGTACACAAGTCAGCAAAATATATAACACTGTTCTAGTGGTTTTTGGATATTTTAATAAAAAAATCTTACATATTGTGCCTTTACACATGATAAGCCCAATAATAGCTATGGATTGGGATGAGGGGGTCCTAAAGATCCGTAGCATCTCTGCACATGGTGGATGAACTGTACAGTCTTATAGCAGTAGGCCTGAATT